GAGGCACTCCAGCTTATTGCTCCTGTCTTCTTCTCTTGTCTCAATTCCTGCCACCTCCTTCTTCACACTTTGTATTCCAGCAATATTAAAGGGATACTGGTTGATATCAGCATTGCTTATCCCTAAATTTCCGCAGAGTTCACAAAAGGACGCTCAAGTCTTCTTTAGTACCATCTTCTCTGCAAAGGCTTTGTTTTTAAGATTTTATTTTTTTCCTTTTTCTCCCCAAAGCCCCCCAGTACATAGTTGTATATTCTTCGTTGTGGGTCCTTCTAGTTGTGGTATGTGGGACGCTGCCTCAGCGTGGTTTCATGAGCAGTGCCAAGTCTGCGCCCAGGATTCGAACCAAAGAAACACCGGGCTGCCTGCAGTGGAGCACGTGAACTTAACCACTCGGCCACGGGGGCCAGCCCCTCTGCAAAGGCTTTTTTGACCCTTATAGGCAGAATTATTCATCTATATTCTGTGCTAAATGTCTAACATATATTTTTAGACAATTGACTTTACATTGTTTTAAAATTGTTGTTTTAGTTTCTTTTTCTATTAAGAGCCATGAGACTTTTGAGGAAAGATGTTATGTCTCATTCAGCTTTATTTCTATGACGCCTAACATTTTTACCGATAAACAATATTTTGGATTGAATTGAACAAACTTTACTGTATGCTCCATATGGAGAAGGGTTGCTGATATGTAAATCATGTACCTCACTCTAAAGAAGTTAACACAATATTTGGGTAAAAAAAAAATCAGAAAACATTACAATTGAACAGAGGTCATAGTTGTCAAGTAAAATTGAACCAAAGAACCTGAAAGATGTAACATTATATTTTGGAGTAAATATTGAATGTGGCAGTTTCAAAATATAGTAAAAGCAAGTTTCATTCCTACAATAGCTTTCTATTAAGCCAATAAAGACCATTTTGAACAAAAATAAGAAAAATTTTACTGGTAGTTGACTACATGAGAGTAATGATACAAATAGATGTCAGAAACTACTTTGGTCTAATTAGTACAACAGATTTCTATTTTAAAATGCATTTCCGTACTCAAAAACCTATTTATTCGTTTCTCCAGTATAAATACTAAGGTAAGAAATGACCTCCATTGACATAAATATCAGTGAGTAGAAACACTGACAGTTTTCCTGTCATTTAAGCAAAACAGTATTTTTATTCCCTCTTAATTCTGTGAGGCAACCACATAAAAACTTGCACATTGAGGGGCCATTGAGCTAAATAATATAAGGCAGAAAAATTACAACTTATTTCAAAATGAGGCAAAATATTGACACAATTGAAATATTTTCAGAATACTTAAGGAATTAAGACTTGCATCTCAACGATACACACAGCTGCAAGAACTAGCTAAGGAAAGCATAAAACAATTAACATCATAGGCAATATCAATTTTAAATCAAGGTCCCTCAAAGCCAGTGAATTCATGCCAAAGTTAGGTCCATACATACAATGCGTATGTGAAATAAATTGTTTCAGAGAAGGAAAAGGTAATCGGTGTCAGCTGGAATATTGAGAGAAAAAATTATTGGAGAAAATTGGGCTGAAGGATGATAGAATTTGGATAATCACAGGGAAAGGATTTTTTTATTTTCTTCTTTTATTTCTTGATTCTTTATTATTTTCTTATTGCGGTAACAGTGGTTAATAAGATTATATATATTTCAGGTGTACATCATTATATATTTCAACTTCTGTGTAAATTACATCATGTTCACCACCCAAAGACTAATTACTATCCATCACCACAGACATGTGCTTACTCACCCCTTCTGCCCTCCTCCCTCCCCCCTTCCATTCTGGTAACCACCAATCCAATCTCCTGTTTCTTTGTTATTGTTTTTATCTTCTTCTTATGAGTGAAATCATATGGTATTTGATTTTTCCCTCTGACTTATTACACTTAGCATAACACCCTCAAGTTCCATCCATGTTGTCACAAATGGCCAGATTTCATTGTTCTTATGGTTGAGTAGTATTCCATCGTGTATATATACCACATCTTCTTTATCCATTTGTCCCTTGATGAGCACCTAGATTGCTTCCAAGTCTTGGCTATTGTGAACAATGCTGCGATGAACATATGGGTGTGTACATCTTTATGCATTAGTGTTTTCATGTTCTTTGGATAAATAGCCAGCAGTGGAATAGCTGGATCATATGGTAGATCTATTTTTAATTTTTTGAGGAATCTCTGGGCTGTTTTCCATAGTGGATGCATCAGTTTGCGCTCCCACCAGCAGTGTATGACGATTCCCTTCTTTTCCACAGCCTCTGCAACACTTATTGTTTCCTGTCTTGTTAATTACAGTCATTCTGATGAGAGTGAGGTGATGTCTCATTGTAGTTTTGATTTGCATTTCCATGATAGTTAGTGATGTTGAACATCTATCTTTTCATGTGCCTGTTGGCCATCTGTATATCTTCTTTAGAAAAATGTCTGTTCAGATCTTTTGTCCATTTTTTAATTGGGTTGTTAGTTTTTTGTTGTTGAGATGTATGAGTTCATTACATATTTTGGATATTAACCCCTTATTAGATATGTGGTTTGCAAATATCTTCTCCCAGTTGTTAGGTTGTGTTTTAGTTTTGTTAATGGTTTCTTTTGCTGTGCAGAAGTGTTTTAGTTTGATGTTAGTCCCATTTGTTTACTTTCACTATTGTTTTCCTTGCATAGTCAGACATGCTACTTGAAAATATGCTGCTAAAACCAATGTCAGAGAGCGTATTGTTTATGTTTTCTTCTAGAAACTTCCAGATCTTACATTCAAGTCTTTAATCCCTTTTAGTTAATTTTTGTGTATGGTGTAAGACAGTGGTCTAGTTTCATTCTTTTGCATGTAGCTATCCAGTATTCCAAGCACCATTTATCGAAGAGACTTTTCTTCCAATCCAAGAGCATGGAATATCTTTCAATTTCTTTGTGTCTTCTTCAATTTTGGGGAAGGATTTCTTTAAAAGAATTAACTGCATGTACATATGAAACAAGTGACGGATTAGTTTGATAGAAGACACAGGTAGCTAGGATAGGATTGATTTTGCAAAGTTTCAGAAGTCATTTGTTATTTTTTTACTAGAATCTAATGAAAGAATTGTTACTAAAATTATTCTGGTAGCAAAATGAAAGATGGACTGGTATATGGACAAACTGGCCTACAGACAAAAGAAGCTGAATGAGTAAAGCTTATGCAGTAATGCACAAGGAAATGAGGCAAAAGCAGTGGCAATGGGAATGGAAAGAAAGGGCAAATGTAGAAGACATCACAAATTAAGAAATTATTGAATCAACACAACTGAGAAAAAGAGGAGATTTAGAGAATTAAACAGAGGGAAGAATCATGGATGCTTGAAAAAGCTTACTTTGTTAAAATATAAAAATAAAAACTGTATAAAGAGTATAATAAACAGGAAGGAGAGAGTGACTGGTGGTCATTTAATGAACTGAGGTTTGGACCTGTTGTACATGAGTTGGTTAGAGATCTGAACGTAGGACTAACTTCTGAATTTGGAAAGTCTTCCTCACTTTTCACAAAATGTTGAGTGAAGATCACGCTGAAGTAAAATGAAAAACTCTTGAGTTCTTGAAATATTTTGGTATCTTGCTATAGCTGAATTATTGTTGTAGAAAGAATTAATGTGATCCTAGGCATTTTTCCTAGAAATAAAATGTCTTGAGACAAAATTCACAGGAAATATACACACAGGAGCTTTCTTTTTAAAAATTGATGATTTTCAATATGATGATCACTTTTGTTTATTTTAAACAATGCCAAATAGCATCCAAATGTTTAAAGTATGTACTGGGATGTTGCTGATATCCACTGGTGGTATCCACTATGTTAGTGGTATTTTTCACTTTTTTAAATTGCAGCCTAGAAGATATTGTTGAAGAAAAAATTACTTAAATTTTTTATTTGAACAAATGATCCTACAGGAGCAACATATAAAATAAATTTCACAAACAAAAACCAGTAATCAGAATTAATTTGGGGGGAATCATAGACCGATTATTCAATTTTAGATAGGTTAAAATCAGTTAGGATTTCGTAGTGAAAATCATTTTCTAGTTTTGTTTCTAAGTTTTTGTTTCTTTTTTACGTATTACTAAGAATGAATTTTCCTAGAGTATCATTATATTCTGAAAAAGAAATATATTTTTTCTAGTCTTTACATTAGAAAAGATGCCACTATGGGGACTCACTTATTTAGCTTCACAATCTTGATCCTCAGAGTGTAGTTCAGGGACCAACAGAATTTGCACTACTCAGGAGCTTTTTAGAAACATAGAATTTCCAGTCCATTCTAAGTTACTGAATCAGAATCCGCTTTAACAAGATACCCAGGTGAATTTTATGTACATTAAAGTTTGAAAAGCGCTAAATTAGCCTTATATAAACCGATCCACCCAATTCAGTTTTGCAGGTAACATGCCTTAAGACGCATTGACTCAAAGGTTAGGGTTTTATGGGAATGATGTTAAGAAATAATGCTAGAGGAAATGAACCCAGTGTTACTCAAAACCTATTCCATGCCAGATATTGTTAGACATTTCCAAATCTATTAATTCGTTTAATGATGACCAAACTCTCTGAGGTAAGGGTCACTATCTGCACGTCTCTGGGTGTGAAAACTAGCCTCAGGTTAAATATCTCGTCTATTTCACACAGTCGATTCATTCAATAAATATTGAGCATCCCATTTCTGAAAGTCCCTGAGTTAGGCCTGGGAATTAAATGGGCATGTTCCCTACTGTCATGGGATGCACAATATCTTTTAATTAGACACACCCTACAACAACATGAGGTAGCGTAAGTTTCTAAGAGGGAAACCTAAACTTTCAGAAGTCGTTTAGGGAAAACTTGTCTTTCCAAAGAGCTTCTAAACTGATTCCGAAGGAACACATCCTTGTACAGTTGGCCCTGAAAAAAAGGCGAGTGTGTCATGGAATTTAGCAAGGGGAACCAAGCAGCAATTGAGGCTGGAACATGACAAGAATCCTGCCGAACTTTGCAGAACAAGGTGCGGATGTTGGACCTCATCCAGGAGTCAAAGGAGCTGTTGGAGGTTGTGTTACGGGAGGAGCGCCAGCCCGGATCCCGGCTGGGACAGCTCCTGCAGGCGGTCCCGCGCCGAGCCCGCGGCCGGCCGGGTGGGTTTCCTCGGGCCCCTCCCCTAGGCCGCCTTTCTCCACCCCAGAGACCGCCCCCCGCTCCCCCGCGTCGCTGTCCGAGGGGGCGGGAAGTGTGCGAGCTCGGCGGGGGCGAGACAAACACGCTCCCGAAATCTTAGAAAGAAAACATCCCCCTTGGCAGCGAGAGCGCGGGAAGTGGAGCGCGCGAGTTCCGGGTTTCCCGCCCGCCCCGCCGGCCGCAGCCCGGGTGAGCCCCCCACCCCTGCTCGGCAGCTGCCTGCCGGGCCACGGCGTCTGTCCGTCGGTCTGTCCGCCTCGCCCCACCACCCCATCCCCGTCCCGGTCCTTCGCGGGGCGCCGCGCGGGCTCTGCGGCAAGAGAGGGGCCGGGCCCGCCTGCCGCCGCGCTCCGCGTCCCGGCCGCCGCCACTTGTGGAGCTCGTCCCCCGGCTCTGTAACTTTAAACCTGCTCCAGCGAGGCCTATTTTGATTCAGAAACCGGCGACCAGAGTGTCTGGGGAAGGTTCCGATGGAGGGGCAGCCTGCCACTTGGAGAGTTTGCAGCGATTGACGAGGAAGGGACGTCTTGTCCTGCTAGCCTTGCTTTGAGATTTCAAAGTTCGGCTGCAACTTCCAGGGAGGGCCTGATTGGTTGCTGGGGGGCTTTTAGAGCTGTACCTGAACCCTGTAGCTCGCTCTGCCTCTAAGCTGTGATCCTGGGGCCACCGCGTGTAAGCCCGGCCCCACCTGTGACCTGGCCACCCTCCCGCAGCAACTGCTCCAAGAACTTCTAGGGACACTCGCGGTGGGGAGCAGCAAGGAGATGAATGTAGCAGCCAAGTACCGCCAGGCCTCCCTGTATGTGGGGGACCTCCATGCAGATGTCACCGAGGACCTGCTGTTCAAGAAATTCAGCACTGTGGGGCCCGTGCTGTCCATCCGCATCTGCAGGGACCTGGTCACCCGCCGCTCTCTGGGCTATGCCTATGTGAACTTCCTGCAGCTGGCTGATGCCCAGAAGGCCCTGGACACAATGAACTTTGACACGATCAAAGGCAAATCCATCCGCCTCATGTGGTCTCAACGTGACGCCTACTTAAGGAAATCTGGGATTGGGAACGTGTTCATCAAGAATCTGGACAAATCCATTGATAACAAAACCCTTTATGAACATTTTTCGGCCTTTGGGAAGATCCTGTCCTCCAAGGTGATGAGCGATGACCAAGGCTCCAGGGGCTATGCGTTTGTGCACTTTCAGAACCAGATGGCCGCAGATAGGGCCATCGAGGAGATGAACGGGGCGCTGCTTAAGGACTGCAGGCTGTTTGTTGGCAGATTCAAAAACCGCCAAGATCGGGAAGCCGAGCTCCAAAACAAAGCCAATGAATTCACCAATATTTACATCAAAAACTTTGGAGATGACATGGATGATAAGAGACTGGAGGAAGTTTTCAGTAAATATGGCAAAACTGTGAGTGTTAAGGTGATGACAGACTCCACTGGGAAATCCAAAGGCTTTGGCTTTGTGAGTTTTTATAGCCACGAGGCTGCCCAAAAGGCCGTGGAAGAAATGAATGGAAAGGATATAAACGGACAGCTGCTCTTTGTAGGCCGGGCACAAAAGAAAGCAGAGCGACAGGCTGAATTAAAGCAAATGTTTGAGCAGCAGAAACAGGAAAGATTTCGGCGGTGCCAGGGGGTGAAGCTCTACATTAAGAACCTCGATGACACCATTGATGATGAAAAACTACGGAGGGAGTTTTCTTCCTTTGGATCAATTAGCAGAGTCAAGGTGATGAAGGAAGAAGGGCGAAGCAAAGGCTTTGGCTTGATCTGCTTCTCCTCTCCTGAAGAGGCCACCAGAGCAATGACTGAGATGAATGGCCGCATCTTGGGCTCCAAGCCACTCAACATCGCCCTGGCGCAGAGGCCCTAGGGGAAAACTTCCTGCGCCAGACCGTGTTTGCAGCAGGTGGGGGCATGTTAGTGATCTCTGCCTGAACTGTCCTCAGTGAATTTCAAACCCCCGCTGACGGCTGCCTAGTTTAGGAAACTTTGTGATAAAAGGTTTTGTACACAAAGCTGTTTTTTTTTCTTTTTTGGAAAAATAAGTGAATCTTAGAAGTTTGATTCATTTTACAGAGGCACACCTTCTAATTGCAATATTGCATATTTTTGTGATTTAGATGTAGTATTCATAGCAATAAGCATAATTAGATATATTTATATTACATTTTGAACCAACTGAAGTGAGGTAATTATTTGAGTTTATTGCATATTTTCTTTCTTATCTTAATAGTATTGCCAGCTTTAATTTCTTTTATGAAAATATGCTCAAAATAGTTCTCATTCCTAAGGATTGCAAAGTAATTTATTTTTATGAACAGAAATTTTCTAATTTCGCATCTAAGTTTTTTTAAAAGAAACCAAAAGTTTAAGAATTGCTAGTAGAAATTCAATATCTAATTTCATTTCAAGTTAATGTTTAAAGTACTGGGAAATAGTTGAATTTCTTTTAAATTTATATCCCGACATGGTTGTTTTTCTGATGGCTGAAATTAATCATGGAGATTTTTCGTGTTGCCTACAGACTTGCTTTATGGGCTATTTTGCTATACTTTCCATTGGTTGACTATAATTCAGGTGCTTACTAGTTATCAAAAATGTGACTTGAATAATAAAACCTTAACTTTTACATTCCTTAAGTTATAAACCTGTGTCATTCAGGAGACAAAAAGTTGCCCTGGTCTTAATTCTCTTCATAACTATACAGCTTAATTTTATGCCTTAAGTTTTTACCAGATACCAATATTATAAAAGTCATATATGTAGAACATAGAAATTCTGTTTAACTGTGTTTTTTAGTCTCTGTTTTATATTGTTCCATGTAGTGATTTTGTCTCAGGGTTCAGGAAAGTAAAAGTTTCATTATTTTTGAGAACTTATATCTCCTTTTATTAGACTGTGAGAACTATGTAACCCATTAAGTTTCACTTTTAGCCTAGGTTGATCAGAAGCTCACTGACTGATTTTCTGATAAATTGTCATATAGCATGATTTTTATTTTAGTCCCATTCCAAGATCTGTCCTCCTCTTCTGCCTTTCAGCTGTGTTACTCGGCTCCTTTTTATGCTTTTTAAAAAGAGTTTTATTATATTGACTTTTACTATGTGCTGTTTGAAGTCTACTTTGGAAATAGAGGCGAATTATTTATTTACACTTAAATAATAACTTCTAAAATTCTGATTCACTCATACCAAAGATGTCTGGAAAATAGTTTTGTTGTTGTTGTTGCTATTTTATTTTTTACTCTGCTTGTTTCTTGTAACCATATATTCACATCTTCTGTCTCATGTTTTACCAGTTCAAAAGAAGTATTAAAATATTTTTCTTTGGCAGTAGTTTAGCTATGAAAGAATGAGGAAATCTGTATTTATTTTTGTATAAACTATATGTTTATTCATTGCACATTTTCTAAATTAAAAGTCTTTTGACAATGAAAAGAATTACGGATAATGAAAACAATTACAGCAACATATAATCCTGTTATGCAGACAGATTTGTTAAAATTTGTTGCATATCCTCGCAATTTTTTTCTATACATATATACATAATTTTTTAAAAATGGAATCATATTATAAATCTTGTTTGAAATTGTTTTCTTAATTTGACAATGTGCCAGAATCAACTTCCATGTCCACAAATAATTATTTGCATTATAGTTTTAATGACTTTTATCTTTTGTTTAGTGTTTGTACCTTAATATAACAAATTTCCTCTTGATAAACATGTAGGTTACTAGATTGTTTCCTCCTTCTTTTTTCCTCTGTCATAAACAACTTAGAGAGATAAACATCCTTGCAAACTCATGTTTGCTGGTATATCCAGTTATTTTCTTAAGAAAATGCATACCTCATGGGAATTAATGTTTAAAAGGACAACAATTTAAAAAGAATTTTAATAAACATTGACCAAATACTTTCCAGAAAACCTGTGCCACTTCCATTTCCATTATCAGGGTGGAGGACTGGCCATTTCAGTATACTCCAAGAACAAGGGATTTTGTTTAAGTTGTTGGCCAATTTAACATAGTATGTAAAATAAAATATTTCATGGTTCCTTTATTTTACTTTTGTCTGTTTAATATGAAAGTTAAATAGTATTTCTTGTATTTATTGGCCATGTATAGTTTCATATTTGTGAGGTAGTGTTTCATGATCTTAGCCTGTTTTCTTTTGGGGGTGTTGTTTATTTGTGTGGACTTGTTAAATTTGTTTACATATTAAGGATAAAATTTTAGACTTTTTTCCCTGATATTCTCATTTCATTTATAGTTTTGAGAATCATTCCAAAGTTAAATTTTTGAACTGAAAATGTTCAATCTTTTATTTAGATGATTTTGATCTTATGTTTTGAAACACTTTGAACACCTCAAATATATATACTCCCCCCCATACACAATTCATCTGTATTGCCTTCTATTACTTTCAAAGATTCATATTCTCAATATTTTCTAAACAAAACTTTTGTGTATAGAGTATCTTATCCACAGCCTGTAGTAAATCTTTTAAAAGTGTCTTGCTTTTCAATCTTTAGTAATATGTTTTGGTAAATACTGATCTACTGTAAGAATCTATGTGAAACTCATATGCCAACTTTAATTTATTGGCTCTCTGAATCTTTGTAGTGAGAAGTATTTACCTCAAAAGCAGAGAGTTTTAAAGAAAGGGAGGGTACCAGGCCAACAGGACTGGCAAGTATAGATGTGTCAAACCTTGACATCTCTTTCTGGATAATCCAGTCTATCAAAATGTTCAAATATTTGAATACTCTTTCATTATGCTTGTAAATGGATTATCAAGATAACGTCAAGAAACTGAGTTCTCCTCTATTATGTGCACAAGGAATTAATAGGACATGATATCAGATGTCTAGATAAATTGTAGCTATAGCTTCATGACACAATAACCTCCCATTTCAGTAGAAATTGCTTGTTAATGTTTACCGTAAGAAATGACTAAGTCAGTTTATAAAAATGTATGGTTCTGTGGATTTTCTTGTTTAATTTACTTAAATTTTGCTCATTCCAAACTTTTTGTGTGTGATAATATCAGGTCATCCTACTTCGCAGTGTAGGTTCATTCTTTCAAGAAAATTTAATCGTTTATGCCTAAGTGCCTTGATAAATACAAAGAATCTTCACTTTTCTGATAAGGATTCCAGTAAAAGCCAATTTACATAGAGATGCCTTGAGCCACTGCTTCCGCTCTGGCTTTCCCTCCCCACGCATATTGCCAGGTTTGTTGCATAGATGCCTGCTTGCCTGTACAGCCAATTCAATAAATATGTGCCTTTCAACATTTTATTTTTAAATTTTTAATGGAAATTTATAGTTAGTAGAAATAAACTTTTTAAAGTGGTTTAGCTTTAGCATTTTTATGTTCTTAATATTTTTATA